GTGATAAACATGATGAACCAAACAAACTGATCTTTATAGTGAAGATAAGCTTATTGAATAATTATTTTAAATATTATTATTAATTTCTTAGTACTTTTAAAACTGGTACATATAATTTTTTCCATACCTTCTCTTTTTACCTTGCTATGGGGAATGGAGAATATAAGGTAAGTGAAGGTAAAATTTGAACACTTGTAGTATTTTAAGAACCAGTGTCTTTTACTGTAACTTTAAAACCTGTTGGATAAAGAGGCAGGAGAACAAGTGTATGAACTTGTTAGTTCACTAGATTTCATAGTGAATGAAACAAGATGACTGATAGAAGTTATGAGTGTATTTGTCTTAATTTTCAGCGTGAGCCAGTACCCTTGCCGTAAGGGATTGGAAAATAATTTAATGTAAATTTTTTTCAAGTGGTAATGCCATATCTGTTGTTGCTGGGTGTGGTCAAGAACTAAGTAAAGACAGTTGAGGTTAAACAAATAGATAAGGGAAATAGGGTGTTTTACTAGTAAGTTTTGTATTGCTAACAGGCAGTTCAATAGTAATGTGGTTTAGTCAGGAAAAAATAAGAACTACAGAGCCACCTAAAAGGTTGCATAATTTAATGGAGTCATAGTCAAGTGAAAATTGTGTGATTAAGTTTAGTAACAGGGTTTGTGGTCACATTAAATACGATACAGTTTTTAGTATTTCGTTAACTAGTTATGTTCCAGTTTATGCAGGTCACTTCCTAATATCGGAGGGACCATCATCTTTCTCTTAACACATTTTTAATGGAAAATTTTAAATGAAAGTTTCAGAAAATATTTGGGGTAAGTCAACACTAAAGTTAAACAGATTGTGGAGTAGTAACAGTTATAGTTTTTAAAATAGTTTTGCTTAGCAGTATAAACTGAGAAAAATTAAAAAATAAAAATTGGAAGAAAATGTGGGGCTTCTTTACCACACCTTGATAACTTAGTTTGAGAATTTTGTAGAGAGAAATATGGTGATCATGCTGATTTTACTATCTAAAATCTTATTTATGCAGAAAAATATTGGCTGTGAATTTCATATAATTGTTTGATATTTCAAATTATGAACATCTTTAAATAATGCTAAGTATGGTATGTAAAACTTTAAAGTTAATTTTTTAGGTCATATATATTCATGTCGGAATGAAAACCCAAGCCATACATTTATGTATGGATAAGTAGGAGGAATTGCAGCCCATTTCCCCATTGTTTGGGGTCATTTCCTGCATCTGGATCACCTGATTTAACTCCCTCATGGGATATAGATGAATAAACGAAAGCCCCAAGATGTCACATCTCCTCAGAATTTATGCAGTTAGGTTAGAGGTAGAATCAGAACTAAAATTCAAGTTGCATGATAGCAAGAAGAATGTCAGGGTACATGCATCTGCTTTGTGGACATTTTACTTGCCTCTGAATTTATCTGAGTCTGTCTTATTCTAGAATACGGATCTGGTTGCTAAACTGTCCCTCTCTGTGACTTTCTAATACCGGTTTTACTCTGTATAGCATCAGTACTATTCACTGATTTCTAAAAAGAGTTTATGATTAACCTTAATTTTTATGAGCTTTTATTTTTGTTTAGGTCAAATTTGAAAAATAATTTAAATGAGCACCATCCAATAAAATTTTCTGCAATGTTGGAGGTGTCCTGTCTGTACTTTCCAATATGGTAGCTTCTAGCCACATGTGGCTGTTGAACAGTTAAAATGTGACTAGTATGACTGAAGAATTTAATTTTAATTCATTTAAATATCAGTAGCCACATGTGGCTAGTACAAATTTAGATATTCTTGGTGAAGGGCAAGAATTAAGTAGAGGTGGATGTATTTTCATATTATTTGCTCTTGTGATTACTGTACAGTATTTGTGTGTTACTGTTGGGTTGGGTTTTTAAAAATCTCATTTTCCAAACTACCCAGTGTCTTAGTGAATAAATCCATTCACAGGAAACAACTTATCAGTAGTAGTTGCTTGAAAGCTAGAATATTTTTAAGAATTCTTTTGATTGATATAGTTATTAACAGTCTATAGATTCCTGACCAACAAAATGATTTAAGTATTGAATGTATTGCCTTCATTTCAGTAGTATTCTTGACTAGTTATATATGGTTAAATAGTAGTTAAGGCCTAAGTTTTAAATTATGTAGAATACTTGACTAAACTTTTTGTTTAAATCTTTTGACTATTACCGTATCTCAGAACCCTGTGAAACAAAGTGAACTCAAAAGGAAATACAGGAGACCACCCGGCAAGCACCTCTTCACTTGCCTTCCTCCATCCTTTCTGTATGACTAATTCCTGGTTCTGATTCCATTGGTATTGTTAGGTGCTGTTGAGTCAATTTCGACTCAGAGTGACCCCGTGTGATAAAGTAGAATTGTTCCATAGGGTTTTCTAGGCTGTAATTTTTACAAGAGCACATCGCCAGGTCTTCCTCCTGCAGAGTTGCTTGGTGGGTTTGAACTGCTTGCCTTTCGGTTAGCAGCCAAGCACTTAACCATTGCACCACTAGGGCTCCTTTTAATTCCATTATAGTAGTCCTTTTTATAACAATCTAGCCCCCAGTCACTGTATCATATTATCCTGTTTTATAGTAGCTTATCACTATCTGCAGTTTTCTTGTTTATTTCAGCTCCATGAGACCTGAATGTTATTTTCTTTGATTTCCCAGAACCTAGAATTGGAGCCCTGGTGGCACAGTGGTTAAGAGCTTGGCTGCTAACCAAAAGGTCGGCAGTTCAAATCCACTAGCTGCTCCTTGGAAACCCTATGGGG